GGTAGGAGTATATATACACCGAGGAGGAGACAGGACAATGATTGTAGCAATGATCTAAGAGGGGGCAGGAGTGCAGAGAAAGAACTAGAAGAAAAGTAAGAGGAAAGAAGGTGACACTAGGAGGCAGTGGAGAGTAACTAAAAAATACAAAGAGGCTCCAAAGAGAAAAGAAACTAACAACCACGTGAAAATTAAACCATGGGAAATGTGCCATGGAGGAACATAATCTAAAGATAACAGAAAGAATGACTATGACAAACTAGACCAAAAAAAACAAACAAAAAAAACAAATGAATACCAAAAATGCTGTAAAGAGAAACTGAGGGGTTTCGTCGTACAGAGTGAGTTCATAGCTCACGATGTTTGTTCTCACTCTGCACGGCCCGACGCTCTGATGCAATCTACCTGCCATCACCGTACGTCTAAAAACCACGTCGGACTCAGCTCCACAGTGAGATGGTACTACTCGGACTCGTCTATCCGGAAGGCAAACCAGTAAAAGAGGAATATGAAGCTCACTGAAAACCCTAAAACAAAAAGGCGACGACGTATTTGGACAAAGACATGGCTGAGCAAACGTGGCTACTACACACGACTGGAAAATTGCCCCGAAAAGGGCAAAAAATCGTACAGTGTATGCTCGGCTTAAGGAGGGGCTTTAGGGAGGTGTTGTCATGCATCGGTGGGCGGAGCCAAACTGACCTGTTGAGCTGTTTCTGCAGCAGGTCGAGGCGTGTGTCCAGCTGGCTGCGCTGCTGCCGGCTCAGGCTGTGCAGCGGCGTGTTGAGAGGCGGGGGGGAAGCCAGGCTGCAGCTGGGGACCTCCTGGTACTGACCGCCTCCTCGGCTCTCTCCCCAGAAGCTGAAGATGTTGGACACCCCTGAGAAAGCCCCTGAGCGAGGCGTGGGGGAGGGGAACCATGGAGTCAAACACTGGTAACGGATGACTTTAACACTTGGTGAGGATCACTGGGGGGGTGGAGTGTTTGGTGGTTTACCTGAAAGGGCGTTGCAGGTGTTCCCTGTCTTTGGGTCTCCCTCAGCCTCTGTGTTATCACTGAAGTTTCTGGGTGGGGCTTGAGCCTTGGGGGGCTCCAGCATCGCGGGAGGTGGAGCAAGGCCGGTGACAACTGGCTCCTCCCCCTGTGAGAGCAGAACCAGAGCAGCGTTCATACAATGCCAGCATAAAAAACACCACTAAGGCTAGTTTCACACTGCAGGCGAATTATTTTGTGAAATCTGATTATTCTTCGTGGTCGTTCACATTTCCAAATATAAGCGGCTTGTATCTGATCACCTGTGTGAAATGCAATCATAAAACTTAAGTGTCCCGCATGCGAAATAGAGGAAGCAATGACGTCACAACTAGGGAGTGTTCTCAGTGTTCACTGAAGTAAACATGGAT